AATGTCAGCCAAACTGGACTATTTGGCCACATCATAAGCAGGAATGTACGATATGCTGTAATGTAGAAAGCAGACAGTTTCGTTTCACGTCAAGACCCCAACAGTGACGGCTGGGATGACTTAAAGGAGCTCAGTCAAGGTATTTTGAGTTGTTTTGGCCACATACAAAATTAACTTTAAACTTAAGTAAACCTGAAAATAATAGTTTACTAACATAGAAAAACACTTAAGAGATATTAATAAACCATAAAGGAACAAGGATGATCAAGGATGGAGAAGATATAACACGGATTGGAAACGACAAACTTAAAAAAATTTAGGCTAGGCTTTTCAAGATGCGCAAGCCGTGAGGTAGCTCCTGTTAAGTACTGTCCCCTATCGGAATTCACACTCCACTACTGTCCGAGGGAAGAATGAAACTGAATTTCAATTCAGTACTAGATTTTGGCTTCCCTTGATACTTGTGTATCTTTGCTAACAATTTCTTTTTGTTACCAAGAAATTACCAAGACCTTAGGGAAAGGAAACAAAGCAAGACGTACTCAATTAAGCATCCGAAGGAAAGACTGAGCCCTTGCGCCTTTCATGATATCTTGTTCTTAAACTCTTCCAAGGTACCTAGATTTCCTTGGCGCGTAACGATGCAACGCTAACTCAGTCAAGTAAATTCACGGTGAACTAAACTCAGTGACTCTAAGTGCTTTTTGAAGTGAGTGTCTACTAAGTGAGAGCCTTACACTAAAATTAGGAATCTTTGGTAGGACAAAAGCAGTTACTTCTTTCTATACAAAAGGAAGTACACTTTACGCAAACATGTAATGCGAACACGGCTAGTCAGATGAATACTGGTAACTGAAAATAAAAGCTTCATATACCTAACAAAAAAACACAAGTATTTCTCAGCTACACTAATTTAAGGAAATCCGTTTTCCAAAATTTCGAAGTCTGATTTTTGAAGCTATACAGAGTTACTCGCACTTGAATTGACTCTCCCTTTGGACCAATCTTTCTTGTCTTTGCGACAAAAGAGTAAAAGTTGTATTTCATTGGCTAGTATAGTTTATATTTTGGCAACAGGTGATATAAAATTTTTTTCTCTGCTACTCACCACAAAGATGTGTCAGTAAATCTGACTTCTTCCTTCCTCTCAGGCAGGCTGAGATCAGATGACCGTTTTGAAATTCACATTAATTATACGTGAGCCAGCGCTTTCTTGACATCTTGTTAAGGGCACCTGAACAGTGTGTTGTTGATTACACAGTAGGTTAAATTCCATTTTTCAGAGAAGGGTGGGCTACATGTCCATCAGGGCATTTCCTGAATGGTTTCCACAGAGGAAGAAGTCATCAGTTAAAAAGTATCCAGTGGGCGCAGTGTTGTGAACCTGCACTACAGCCCTACTGGTACAAAGCAAAGATCAAGATGTTGGTGCAGGTCATACATGGAAATGCAACGATGAGGGATTCTATGTAGTTGGATTACACATCTGAGTCACTTTCTAGCATCACCAAGCTTAGATGCTGCAACATGTATGACGGTGAGTAATTGTCCGCTTGGGGGAAGGGAGGGGAATTTGAAAAAGATCAAGCAGTATTGCTCCGGGGAGTCTGGGAAACCTTACACAACGGACATTTTGTTCCGCAGGGCTGGGAAACGTTACGCAAGGGCAAGGGCTCCGCAGGGGCTGGGAAACCTTATGCCGTGCCATGCTAAACAAAAACACAAATTTGCTACCCCGTCTGCGACTACATAGTTCACTTGAGCACCACCTGAGACAGAAAGTGTATATTTAATTTCAATTTTTATTTCTAATTTTAACCTTTTTCTATATCACTATATTACTTTCGCCCATTCCCATAGAACCTAATTGAGTCATCTCTACGAGGTAGCTAAGTTTAATATGTGTCGTCCAAAAGGCAAAATAATCGGAAAGAAGTACTAGTTGATAGTTTTTTTCATTTTACTTAGTCAGACCTCTACGAATTGTTGGTTTAGTGATCTGCCGGTAACCTTATTTTAGAGGATCCTATTGCCATATTCGCACAGGTTCACCCTGACAACAGGCGAAATAGTTATAGGCCCTTTGCAGCTGGGGTCACGTGACCAAATTTTTCCTAGAAATTTTTACATTATGGGCTATAACTTAAAGAATGCCAGAAATGGAGAGAGCGCATCGAAAATACCAAAATGGCCAAGTTTGAGGCCCCTGGATTGAAAGAGTCTTTATACGTTAGTTTGAATTTTCAGAAAATTTAGAGGATTTTTACAGAAAATGTTGCTGGAGAGCAAGGCGTTGCTCTCAAACAACTTTTTCCATAGAAATCTTTTATTCTTGTAAAAATTCTGACTGTCATAAATTCTCATTCTTTAATGATGTGAGCCTCAAACTTGGCCATTTTGATAGTTTTCGACATGCTTTTTCCATTTCTGGCATTCGTTAAGCTATAGCCCATGAATGTTATGAAAAATAGGTCACGTGATGGCTTAGCTGCAAAAGGCATATTCCTGCATTGAAAATTGTTAGTATTGAAAAGAAAAATTTGGTCGCGTTTTATTTAAAGCTGGTAAGTTGCGGTCGAAAATGTAAACCTTGGCAAAGCCCAATAACTGGTGTTGTTAATGCTTACTTCATGCGATGCAATGAATTTGCATCGCATGTCTCAACCTCTTCCCGTGCTAATAATGGCTAGAGCCTCGACTCCGCTTTTCCTTGTAGAAGTCCTAACACTGAAGTCGGGAGATGAAGTAAAGACGAGAACTATGGATTTGACGCTCGATAACTTGGGTCTTTTGGCGTTTTACTTGGGATACGGTTGGTCAAAAGAATGCAGAGGTCAGCATAATGGCCAAGATTTTATAAGAGATGGTGACAGCTGGAGGTCCCATTATCAAAACGGATGCAGTGGAGAGAAGGCAAAAGAACGTCTGAAGATCTTCTACGAGAACTTTTCTTTTAAAGTAAAGAATATTGACTACGGGAAGCCAGAAATTCAGTCAATAAAGCCTATTGTACAGGATGTCGGAGAGATCAACAACATGGATTCGACTCCAACCCAAACGAGTATTTCACGAGAAATAAAGTCTGTTCGCACCGTCACCCATTCCTCTACCACCAGGTTTAAATCCACTTTCGGAGCTTCAGTGACGCTCGGTTACACGTCTCCCGGCATTTTCGGCTTAGCTGCTGGAACTTTCAAAGCGTCCATCACCTTGTCTGGAGGAAGCGAGAGTGCTGGATTGAACACAGATGAAGACGGGAAGATCAAGTGGGACATCGTTAAAGTGAAAGAAACGCAAACAACAGATGCCGATTCTGGGTCACCATACCAGATGATAACTTCCAACAAGCAAGTCAATGTACCTTACAAAGCCACCATTTAAGTCCAGTTCAAGGTTAAATTTGAAGGCTTCCTGAAAAAAAAAAAAAAA